TTACCTATGTCAGCCGTAAGGAGAGAAACTGTGAAAAAGAACAAATTTGGGTTTATGTTTCTGAAAGTTTTGAAGGCCAAGCTGGAGGATGCATAGGTTGTATGAAGTTTCTGCTGAAAAGAGGCCATTCGTTGGAGAAAAGCATTGCACTGGGAGCTAGGTGGCTATTTTCTTTTCTATTACTCAGTCAAGCTGCTTATTTTTTCTATGCCCCACTTCTCTTTTAGACCTATTTTACTACTTACTGGTGATTTCAGTCAGCACCTAGCTCCAATCTAATGCTTCAGCCACGATGGCTCTCATATGCCCTCTGTAACTTCCCCAATGTCTTGTTTTGCCTGGAGTGCTCCTTCCTGTATTTCCACGTTTGTATCTGTGGCAGATGCTTCCTGTTGGCTGATCCAACAGTCATTCCCAGCCTTTTCTCTTTGCCATCTTCCGCTATAGAGGCTGGAAAAGCTATAGGCTAATTTTTTTTTAGCCTCTAGTCCAGTTAGTGAGGGAAATGCAACAGAGTTCTGGCCAATGAGATGCCACAAAGCTTCCAAGAAAGTTTAACCTTTCCTGGTTAGGGTTGCCCTTCCTTCTTCCTGCCTTGAATAAGGATATGATATTTGAAGTTTCAATAGCCACTTGCAACCATCAGGCATAAGCATGAGAAGAAAACCAAGAAACTCACAGTGGCACCTTGACATCATCTAGCTGCTAAATCAGCTCTAGGAGCCACACATCTCTCAACCTGTTCTATGTGAGAATAAACTCCCTACTTATTTAAGCTACTATATAAGGGTTTCCTATTACTTGTAGTCAAAAGCATTCCTAATGATATCTACTTTTTAAGGTGGCATTTAGAGGCCAGCTCCTCTATGGAGCCTCTCCTCCTTTGTACTTTATTGATGAGGAGCCCTGGTTAAAGCATTTGGCTGCTAACCAAAAGGTCCGTGGTTCAAACAGGTATGTTTCTTATGGTACTTACTACTCTCTACCCTTAATGGGAGGGTAATGATCTGCAGCTCCCAGCACAATGCTTACCATGCAGTAAGTATAAAAAAGACTTAAATATGTGATGAGGAATTAAGGAGTTCTGACACTCAGTTTGGTAACCATTTGGGCATTACGTTTGGCTTTTCTCATGTGTTACAATAATATTTTAGCCTATAGGAGGGAATGGCTGATGAAAATTACCTATGTATATAATTTTTTCTTGTTTTGCATCAACAAATATTTGCAAGCATATACTAGACAGGTATTGTGCTCAACATTAGTAACACAGAGATAATAAAGAATTTCTGGCTTCAAGGAACAAATGGCAGAGAGACAAGTAAACCAACAATTACAACAGTGTGTGATGTGGGCAATAACAAACTTAAGGACAGGGTGCTTCCTCGCCATCCACTTCTCTGCCACTTCATCCAGAAATTGGCTGTCAGGCACAGCATCAACACATCAACTTTCCGTCCTCTGCATTTATATTCCAACTTATCCTCAGCTCCTCTACTCTACTGATGAAAAATGAAGTGTCCCTCCCTCCATCTAAGCCCAAGCTCACCAACTTGCTCTCACAGACAACACTTTTCACCTCGTGTGGGATCTAGCTCTAGCAGTTAGTCATCTACTCTCCCATATTTGTCTTAGTTTTAATTTCTAACATAATAAATATTGATAGATATTTAGGCGTGTAAAAGGGTCCAGTGTCATCTTTCAGGAGGTCTTCTTGATTCTACACCCTAAGCATACCTCTGTCACAGCACTTAGCACAGTCTGTGGAAATTATCTCTATAACTGTGTCCCACACAGGTCTCAAAAGCCATTGATGGCAAGTGTCTTGATGAATCCAAAGGTCTCATCTTTCTCTCCCTAGGGCCTCGTATAGTACTTGGCAAAGTAAGATTAGGATGTTTTTGGAAGCACTGAGCCCAGGTGGCGCATGGTTAAAAGCTTGGCTGCTAACCAAAAGGTAGGCAGTTCGAATCCTTCAACTGCTCCTTGGAAACCCTATGGGGCAGTTCTACTGTGTCCTACAGGCTTGCTATGAGTCGGAATTGACCTGACAGCAACGGGTTTGGTTTTTGGAGGCAAAAGAATACAGAATGGCACCTGTTTGGGTGGGGATAGAGATCAGGGTTGGAGGAGAGCTGTGGTATGAGGAAAATCAGGAAAATTCTGCCCAGAGAAGGTCATGAGTGAGCTGAATCTCAAAGGAAAAGGAAGAACTCTGGACAAGGGTAATAAAAGGAATGCCAGCGAGAACAGCACTTGTAAAAGCATGCAGGTCCAAGAGAACATGATACATCTACAAGAAACTGCAAATAATTCTGACAATGTGCGGGACTTGTTGGGCCGGAGACTGGAGAAATATACAGGGCCCGTACTATTGAAGTGTGACGTATATGTGTGTGTGTGTCTATCTCAAGAGAATTCCAAAATATTGATCTCTTTACTATAATTATTTCAGGCATTACAATCTCAGGTGGTCTCCAAATTTATCTAGTCTACCTTTGTTTATCCAGTGCCAATAGTGTCACTTTCTGTGCTTCAGTTTCCTCACTAGGCAATAAAAATACTACCTTCTTCACAAGGTGGTTGTAAAAAATAAATGCAGCAATAGATGTAAAGCACATAAAATAGTAGTGGCACCTAGAAGGGATCAGAGGGTGTTATCACTACTGATTTGTCATCAGCCACAAATACTTGCTAAGATTAGAGAGGAACGAAGAGACTATCCTTCAAAACTGCAAGACATAGCCTTAATACAAAGAATACCTATTTTATAATAGGTAAATTTATTATCTTAGGAGATGATACTACTAGCAGGTATCTCAGGATTTAGGTCCACAATTTCAGGAAACAGTGCAAAATGATTACCAGATTCCTCTGACTACTACTTTTATATTTAGATAGCAAATTTAGCTCAAAGCCTCAAGGTATAGCTTCAATTATTTTCTAAATGTGTATTAACTTACGGTTGCTCACACTGAAACTCATTTTCAAGTTTCTACCTACTGTAGCTTTGTACTATAGCTTTGAAAGATCTTCCTGCAGTTTACTCCTGTTGACTTAGCATTTATTCACTTGAAAAAACTTGGCTTCATTTTTAGGTTTTACCACCTGGCTCATAAATCATTTCCAAATGGAATTTCAGAAATGAAAGGGTCATTAGAGATGATGCAGTCCAAGAGTCTAATTTTACAGACAAGAAAATTGAAACACAGAGGCTGAGTGTCCAAGGTTAGATACTCTCTGAGGGCTCCTACTTGACTTTTCTACCACATGCTCTCAGATATACCCTCTCCCTGCCACTGTTCTTCACTGTGTGAACTGTGTGCTGATACTCAGCCCCTGTTAATTCTGAGTAAACATAAATGACAAAATAACTTCTTCTAGATGGTGGGGAAAATGACCGTTTTCCAGTTACTCACTTGCATATTTTGTGCATTCCCTCAACAGACTTGGCTAAGTATTTGGTGTTATGTATTTGGTTAATTTTTGTTAAAAATTCCACCATGTCTAGGGTTTATTTCTTTACCTTCAAAGCCAAAATTATTAAGTAAAATCATGCATTCTCATGGAATGTTTCTTTTAACTACTTGGCTGGTGGATATGACCTCCTTGGCATATTCTAAGTGTTGTTCTTAAATTCATACGGAAAATACCTTTTCTATGCAGGTTTCTAAAAACTGGTGGCACAGTGGTTAAAGAGCTTGGCTGCAAACCAGAAGGTGGGCAGTTCAAACCCACCAGCCGCTCCTGGTAAACCCTATGGGGCAGTTCTACTCTGTCCTATAGGGTCGATATGAATCGGGCTCAACTCTACCGTAACGAGTTTTTCAGCTCTAAAAAATTAGACAGGCACTGCTTGAGAGGCTTAGCATCCCTGCTGTTATGTGATGATGAACTGGACCTACCAATCACAGAGCCAGCATACTCACATACCAGCCACAGGGAGAGCCTCGCTAATGACATTTTGTTCCAGGGGTAGGCATCAGGTCCTATGACACTCAATCCATAGGCTGGCCAGTCACCTAAAATGAGGTCTGGTGTAAAAAGATGAGCTGGTCCAGTCAAATTCTTGCTCTTGGAAATATGGCTCAAACTCAGAAAGAATCAGGTAATTAGTAGAAAAGATCAAATCTGAAAGCATGAAGAGAGAAAATTCATAAGATACACAACGTAATGATGAGTCAGAAGTTATAAGCAGCACAAGTTCTGAAGAACAGAAAAGATATAGTGTATAAAGAGTAAGAATAAGGGACTCAGGAGCAAATGGGAGAAAGGGGCAGCCTTAGAAAGTATACTTCATTAAGGATGGATTAATAGAGTCGGGGTCTTTTCTCTTGCTGCTAAGGTCGCATTATCTGGATGCAGGTTTGATGAGGCCAGTGTAAACGAATGTTTCTGCTCCTAGAACCTTGTGACACCCGTTTCCCTTACCACTATTTGTGTATTATTTTTATGCCACTCCTCCTTCCCTCCCCCCACCCCGCCCCGCATAACCTAGCTAGAATGGATACGATTCTTGTAACCAAAAAGGCTAATTAAGATACCTGTGAAATGAAAGGGATGGTTAGACAGAGCCTTCAGCTCTGTGGACATGTTCCACCGGCTGGTCACTTCCACTATTAACTCTCCCAATTGCTAGGGAAAGTTCTATATATGCAAGAAACTGGTCCTAGCTTTATCACTTGCATCTTTCACGTCCATCCTTTTTACAGCAGAAACACCAACTGTGCGCCAAGAGCACGAACCGAAGTATCTCGCTTGGAGACGGCGGTCGCAAGAACTGATTGTGTTCCCTTGCTAGAAGCGCAAACCCAACGCTCCTCACCGCGAAGTTTCCGGGTTCCACCCCCTTCACCAGGCGCACGCTTTTGGCTGGAGAAACCCTTCCCGCCGCTGCCAGAGGACGCGGCGCCGGGTGGGCGGGCTCCCTGTCCCCAGGAGCTTCCCAGGTATCCCGCGCCCAGACCCTCCCGGCCCCCGCAGCTGCCCAGCTGGGTCACCTGTAGTTGTAGGCGCTGAAATGCTTGCTCTCTCTCAGCATCGCCCGGTAAAGATCTAACACTTGTGCGCGACTGGAGGCTGCCATTTTGAAAAGAAAAAAATTAACGGGTCCTTTTCACGGAGGTGCCTAACCCAACCCACAGAATTTCAGCCTATGCAAAAACGAAAACAAAAAACACCGCGAGCAAGAGAAAACGCAGTGCTCTGCCTTGCTGGTGGGATCCGGGCTTAAGGCCCAATTCGCGCGTGCCCCTTGTCCTGGCCTCGCCTCTGGAAGGCGCCCGGGAGCCCCGCGCGGCCTTAGGAAAAGCACGCAGGCAGGGCGCGGGGCAACTAAGGCGGCGGAGGCGGTGCGGCGCGGCCTGCTCGGGGCGGGACGCGGGAAAGAGAAGCCGCCAAGTGACAGAGCTGGGCTGTGAGGCTGGGCTTTGGGGCTGTCGCTGCACCGAGCCCGTTCTTCGGGGACGGGGTCGGAGACTGGAGCACGAAAGGCTGCAGCTCCGTCACGAAACGTCTCCGCGATCCCCTTCAGGTGGAGACATTTGTATCTGAGGGCGCACCGCCCAGCAACTTCTGCGCGCCGCGTTGTCAGGGTTACCAAGCGCGCGTCGCACGACCCCGCCCCCGCTAACTTTGGACGCCGACTACTGCAGACGCCCCGCCCCCGCCGGCTGCGGCCGCCCTCGGCGCTGCCTGAGAGGCAGTGTGCAGCGCTCGGGAGCGTCGCGTTTCGGCCAAGCTTGGTCGGCGAGCCAGGGGCGCGGGTCTCTCGCTGCGCGGGTCTCTCGCTGCGCGGGGGATGGGGCGCGAGGGGCGGGGAGGCGACGGGCTAGTGTCTCCCTGGCATGCCGGCTTCTCTCAGGGCGACAGGCTAAGGGGCCTCCGGGGCAGGGCCCGGTTCCAGGGTCAAAATGGCAGCGCCCAGAGTGCGCGGCGGGCTCAGAGGTGGGGGGTTCACGTCTTCTCTGTGAGAGCGAGCGTGCTTGCTGTGCTTCCGAATTTGAAACCTCCAGGTCTGGGTTTCCCGGGCGAGCGGTGGGTGAGTGCCGGCCTCGCTGCAGTGTGGGGATGGGACGAGGCCGATTGGTGTGGTAGGGAGTTTGCACTTCGCCGTGGACTTTTCCTTGTTAACAGGATATTCTTTGAGACTCGAGTTTTGGTTTTGTGTCATGAGTCAGAGTTTTGTAATTTAATAAGTGTGTAAAAAGGCCAGGCACTTGGGCTGTAGATTACTTGGGGATATTTAGAAGTTTAAGGACTCTTGTTGTGATCATTTCAGACCCATGTTAAGAAGCCGAACGAGTTTTTACATGAAGCTTTTCCCGGGGTCTTTTCTCAGAAGACTTCAACTTTTCTGAACTACCATGTTAAGTAGTGGTCCTTGAGCATGAGACTGGGCTCAGGGAACCCTGAGCCACTTCCAGTGACTGTCTGCAAAGCACGTCTCTTATTTTTGGAGTCTTGCTTTATAATCAACCTTAGGAGGAACCACAGCTTTCTGCCCCAAACACAGCGAGGAGCAACTTCATGCTTAAAAGACAAACACGATTGCATTAACACCCATCTTTTCTCCAATCACTGAGTTACAATTGTGTTCTCATGTCTTTTAAACTGTCTAGTTTTGAAATCATTACGCATCACTCAGATTGCGGGACACTTGCACCATATCAGAGTAACTCCGTGTTTTCAGAAACTTTAGGGGCAGGAGACTCTTTTCTGACCTTACCATACTTGGGACATGCACTTGCAACACGTCTTTGAATCCAAGTGTACTCACTGGTCATATTGCAGTGGCACTTAATATATTAGCGAGGAAATGTTACTAAACTTTTAATCTTCCTGTCAAATTTCTTCAAGGTCTCATAAATAGATTGTTTTACAGGGTAGCAGAACTTCTGTCACTTTTTGCCAGTTGGTCAGGCCACTGGGCAAATCTTGCCGTGGATTTATTGAAAGTACTTTTAATGTTTTGAGATTTTTCTTTGACGATTTTTAAAGGATTTAAGACCTGTGGAATTGCATAGAATAAGATCCAGAACTGTTTTCTTTTATTATGATATACTTTTGTGTGCTGATGATACAAAGTGGTATGTGGCATCTGGGAAAACTACCATGTTAATGCAAGTCACAGATACAGGAAATTATCAAAATGAGAAGACAAAAAAATGAAACTTACTTTGGCCTGTTTAGAAATAGTGAGAGTTACATTATTTTATCGTATTTTGCTTTCATCTAGAAAGTTGCCTAATTATCAAGCAGTTTTACCATGAATGTATACAATTAATATATCTAAATGATTTAACTTAGTTGTAACCAAGTAAAACTTTCAAAATAAATATATAAGGTTTAAATAGTTTGCTTGGGTAGCCTAGTCATCTGTTGGTACAAGGAATGGTTGAGAAATCACCAGGTACAAAAGTGATGCCTTCCCAGTTAATCCTAAACTAAGTCTTCACAAAAAGACATATTGTGTTATTTGAAATGATTTACCAGAATGTTGAATATCATTGCCTTAAAGACTAATAAAAAAATCATCACACCAAAGCTAAATCTCCAGTTTTTGCATGTCACTATTGCAGAGTTGAGGTTGAAAGTGGAACGGGGCCAGAAGCAGAGAACCGACCTTATTCATACGTCCTTTAATATGCATTCCATACTGGGCAGAGGACTCTTGGCAAAACCAAAAAACCAAACCCAATGCTGTCGAGTCGATTCCGACTCATAGTGACCCTATAGGACAGAGTAGAACTTTCCAAGGCTGTAATTTTTATAGAGCTGGAGGTCTGGTGGTGCAGTGGTTAAGCGTTTGGCTGCTAACCAAAAGATTGGCAGTTCAAATCCACCGGCTGCTCCTTGGAAATCCTACAGGGCAGTTCTACTCTTTTCTATCCGGTCGCTATGAGTCAGAATCGATTCGACGGCAATGGGTTTAATCTTTATGGAAGCAGACGGCCACATCTTTCTCTGTCAGAGCAGCAGGTGGATTTGAACCAGGACTTCGAACTGGTTCTTCCAGTTCAAACCCCTACTGGGAATTTGCATTTCCACCCCAGACATACCAAATCAGAATCTACATTTTAACAAGATGCCTAGGTGATTCTTATATATAATATGTTTTGAGAACCACTGCTCTACTGGTGGTTCTCAGAACTGGTCCCTAACCAGCAGCATTAGCATCACCTGGGAACTTGTTAGAAATGCAAATTTTCAGCAGGGGTTCTAACCAGAAGAACCCTTTTGAAGCCCTGGTTCAAACTGCCTGCCATTTGGTTAGCAGTTAAGCACTTAACCACTGTGCCACCAGGGCTGCTTGTCTTGGCAAACCTGTTGCTGTCTAGTCGATTCTGACAAAGTGACTATAAATAAACTAGGGAGTGCCCACATACTAGGAACCCTGGTGGTGTAGAGGTTAAAGCAATTAACTGCTAACCACCAGTGGCTCCACAGGAGAAAGATGTGCCAGTCTGCTTCCTTAGAGATTTACAGCCTCAGAAACCCTGTGGGGTTGCTGTGAGTCGGAATCAACTTGATGACAATGGGTTTGTTACCCACCTACTACCACTTGTTGTGTGTCATCGAGTTGATTCCAACTCATAGTGGCCCTATATGACAGAGTAGAACTGTCCTGTAGTGTTTCTTAGGCTGTAATCTTTACGGGAGCAGATGGCCAGGTCTTTTCTCCTGTGGAGCCACTGGTGAATTCGAACCAACGCCCTTTCAGCCCAGCGCTTCACCGTTGAGCACCATTGAGCACCACTGAGCCACTATGGCTCCTTTACTACCACTTAGGCCTCAAAATGTAAAAAGAAATTATACTGAGTTGTCCATAGTTATTAACTACCTATAACCAAAAAACCAAACTAAACCCATTGCTGTTGAATAGAGTTCTTTGTGAAATCATGCATTACCTTATATTACAATTACAATGAACATTTGATGCTTTTGAAGACAAATTTCTTCAACTATAATAAGCAAAGTTGGAATCAACTCGACGGCAAAGATTTGGTTTTTGGTTTCGGTCCTTAAGCTTTCACGTCAAAATGATGTAAAGAAAATCTTATTTAGAATAAGCAACTTGTAATATTATAATTTAGGAATGATTCCATTCTATATATGGATCTGCCTCTATTATCCTCATTTGTTTTTATTGATCCTTAATTCTTACAGAATATGCCAATGGAAGGGACCTTATGGACATCACTCATTTTACAGATGAACAAACTGAAGTGATTTTCCTCTTTCATTCATTCAACATTTATTGAACATTTCCTAAGTGCCATACACTATACAAGGTGATAGAGTTACAGAGATGAGAACCCTCCAAAACCCGTTAAGAAACCTATAGAAAACTAGGTAAGCAAAGCAATAATTGGTAGTGACAAGTGCTATGATAGGGATAGTATTACCAAATACTGTTGTTGTTAGGTGCTGTTGGTTTGATTTTTGACTCATAGTGACCCCATGTGACAGAGTAGAATTGCCCTGTAAGGTTTACTTGGCTGTGATCATTACAGAAAGAAGCCCTGGTGGTGCAGTGGTTAAGCACTTGACTGCTAACTGAAAGACTGGCAGTTCAAATCTACAAGCTACTCTGAGGGAGAAAAATGTAGCAGTCTGCTTCCAGAAAGATTACAGCCTTGAAAACTATGGGGCAGTTCTCTGCCCTGTAGGGTCACTATGAGTAGCAGTTGATTAGACAGTAACAGGTTTAGTTTCTTTGGTTTAATCTTTACAGAAGTAGATCCCCAGGTTTTTCTCCTGAGGTGCTGCTGGGTAGGTTTGAACCACCAACCTTCAGTTAGAAATCCTGGTAGCACAATGGTTAAGTGCTTGGCTACTACCGAAAGGTTGGTGGTTTGAGCTCACCCATCCGCTCTGTGGGAGAAAGACCTGGCAACCTGCTTCCATAAAGATTACAGCCAAGAAATCCATATGGGGCAGTTCTACTGTCACTTGGGATTGCTATGAGTTGAACCACCTTCATGGCACCCAATAACAATAGGGGAGTATAAGGAATTCTTGGATGGTGCAAATGGGTAACATGTTCGGCTGCTGACTGAAAGGTTGGAGGTTCGTGTCCACCTAGAGGTGCCTCGGAAGAAAGGTGTGGCAGCATACTTCCAAAAAAGCAGCCATTGAAAACCCTGTGGAGCACAGTTCTACCGTGACACACATGGGGTCACCATGAGTTGGAGTTGACTCTATGGCAACTGGAAAAAAAATGGAAAAGGAGACATTCAACCAGGACTTTGACCTAAGGGAAGGCTTTCCTTCAGAGATCATATTTTCAAGGGAGTAGTAAGAGCCAGATGAAGAATATGGTAAATTAGAGATTGGCGTGTATATTCAAAGCATATAGGTGTAAGTGAGCATACTCTCTTTGGGGGTTTG